CCTTAACAACCAAGAAATCAAGTTCGAAAAAGAAGCTAACTTTTGACCAACGCATGACATGGACACCCAATATTAATAACTTGGTCAACTCCTGTCAAAAAGATCAAACCTCATGAGAGCTTTCAGTGGCACTAACTGGGGTGAGTGAGTGAGTGAGTTTCTTTAGCTCCTCCAAACTTGGAGATTTATAATTGAACAGTAGAGAAGAGTTAGTTAAATGTTACGACAAATGAGTCCACTGGAGAGGAAGAATAGTCCAACAGGGGGTAGCAGTTTAAGATCCTCAATATCGAAGGAGCGTCCCCCAAGCAGAGTTCTTGTTTGTTCATCCAGTTTCATGGAGTCCAACATGACACACGTCTACGCTAAACGTGTCCAAAATGGAGAGCCACAGAGTCTCTCGGTTGTCGCAAACACGCTGGTCGGGGCATTCATGCAACAGATGATGAGGCAGGCACACTTATAGTCTGCCGAGCATAGCTGGCAGTTACCTGGTCTAACTGGTGTAGCAATCATATTCACAACACCTTTGAGTGCACGCTGTAGATGAAGGATCTGTCGTCCCAGAGTCCAGAGCTTGGAAGGTTTGTAAGATTGATGCAGATAATGGAACAGGGAAAGTTCCACAATGCTTGAGATCCTCTGCTCAAGCAGTATTGTTTCAAGCTCAGTAACTTTGCTTTTCACAATTGTTTTCCAATTCTGGTTGACGGGAAATGTTGTTAAGCTGACGTTATTGATATATTCAATGCAATCATAAAACACCAGAAGCTTGAAGACTGTAACCAAGGAAAGGTTTATGGCTATAGAGGAAGAATCTGTGTAGTCTGAAGAGGAGGACGGTGCCGACAAACAAACACTTATTAAAATAATGATTGGTATTCTGATCAAAGTATTTCTGCACAAAAAGTAACAAACTCATAATTAGTGTTAAAATATACCACTAACCACTAATGTGAAAACATCTCGCTAGTCTATGGGATAGGTCTATTATGTTAGTGGGTAAGACTAGGTTGTAATCACAGTCACGCCTGATTGATCCAAAGTTGTCTGATAATTGGCGTGTCTGACAAATGGGATGTCTAACTTTTGGGAGCAAAAGCATACATGGAATAAATATGCAAGTGTTTAAAGCAGCGAACAGGCGATTGGAGGGTGTCGGCCCGGGAAAGTTATATTTCAATATTCCCGATTTTGGTCAGCTGTCCACTATATTCGGATTTACGATATGACGTGGGAAAATGTATTAAATATTAACCCTTTTTCTCTCTTGCCACCTTCTGACAGGCCGCTTTCAATGTCAAATGTTCTCGTCAGGATATGGCTGACATATTGCCGATGTGACGTTAAATAATACCTCACTCACTCACTCTGACAGGCCGCATATATGCTAGGTAATGTTAAATTAATAAAACCCTTAGCTGCATTAGTTACTAAAATGTTTAATAGACGTAAACGCACGTTGTAGTCATGTAATTAAATATACCACACTTCCCTGTTGCTTATAGAATTGTGGTATTCTATTCACTACTATCTGTTTTAGGTAGAATGTAGCGGCTTGTGTCTCATAGGCCATGTGACCAGATGTTATATTCTATACTAAGTGTCTTAAGGTATCTATGCTTGTGTCATATATAACATGTGACACACAAATAATAACACACTCTTTTCTTCTCCGTAACAAAACGCAAACGAAGTTTAGAAGTCATGTAATTAAATAAATATACCACACTCTATTGTTGCTTACAAAGCTGTGATATTTTATTTACTACTATCTGTTTTAGATCTAATATAGTGCCTTTAGTGTCTCATAGGCCATATGGCCGGATGTTATATTTTATTGAATGTTTTAAAGTCTATGTATGTTTTATATACATGTATAACATGTGACACACAAATACAAATATTTTCTTTTTCTTCTTTCTATTCCCGGTAAAGCGAAAACCAAAGTTGTGCTGGAAGTGCCGCGTAAGCGAATTGCTATGAAAATATCGGATTACCGTACTTCAGATTTGCGCGCGACCCCAATACTCCTTCTGTGAGCCTCTTAACTGAGATGAAGTTTCCTATTACCTTTTAAATACAATAAATGATTGTACTTATGCAGTGTTGTGCCCATGGTGGTAAAAACGACGCCTTTTCAGTGCTGCTGTTTTCTCAAATCACCTACTATACAATATCACGTCATACTGTAGTTAGGTAACTAAGCCAAATTAAGTCAAAATGAGTTGAATTTCGTGTCATGATGCTTATCAACATACACTCATTCATTTACAACCTTCAAAACATTGAAAACCATGTATTTTAAGTAAAAGTAAATATTCTCGCCCATGGACGAGATTTTTAATATCGCTCTAAATTAGCCGAATTAAGTCAAAATAAGTTGAATTTTGTGTCATGATGTTTATAAAGATACACTCATTCATTTACAACCTCCAAAACATGAATTCTGAGCGAAACTAAACATTCTCGCCCATGGGCCGACTTTGTGAGTCAAGAATTAAATTGCGACAACGCAATAGAGTACATGTGCATGTTGAGTGAGAATTAGTGCCATCACAAACACGTTCTCCTGTTTTCTTTTGACTTATGTTTGCTGATGATGTTTCTGTACTTTCTGATACTTGTAATCAGTTACAAAAGAAGATAAATGCACTTGAATGTTTTTGTAAACAAACTAGAATGTCAATTAATCTTAGTAAAACAAAAGTTCTTGTCTTTAGAAATGGTGGGCCATTACGGGAATATGAAAAGTGGTCCTATAATGGCAATCCTATTGAAACTGTATCCTTTTATAAATATCTAGGACTTGTATTTACACCAAAGCTTGTATGGAGTAAAGCGCAAAGCTGTCTGGTATCTCAAGCTAACAAGGCGATATTTTCTGTAAACGGTTTTTAAAAAAAAAAAAAAGATGGGAAGAGTAAATTGTAAAGACTTATTTAAGATTTTTGACTGTATGGTTTCACCTATTTTGTGTTATGGGTCTGAGATTTGGGGTACTAACTATTGTAGCATCATCGAGTCTGTTCAGGTGAAATTTCGTAAATATTTCTTGAAAGTTGGTAAATCTACCTGTAATAACATGGCTCTTGGTGATTGTGGCAGACGTCCTCTACAAATTACTTATATGACTAAAGTAATTAAATACTGGTGTCACCTATTGTATATGCTTTATGATAGACTGCCAAAACATTGTTATATTATGCTCAAGTCCTTAGATGATGTTGGCCGCACTATTTGGGCAACTTGTGTCAAAAATATTTAATTAAGTATGGTTTGGGCTATGCATGGATCAGTCAGGATGTTGGCAATGTTGATTATTTCATATCCTTGTTTAAGCAGAGTCTTTCGGATAATCTTAAACAATCCACTTCAATTCAAAATTTTAATAAGTGTTTTTAATACTCCCAATTTAAGACATTTTTAAATGTGGAAAGGTATTTAAATTCTGATATTCCTTTACATCTCAGATCTGCACTCTCAAAATTTAGATGTGAAAATTGTAATTTAGCAGTTGCAACTGGAACATACAATAAAGTTAACTACAACGAGACACTATGTCTATTTTGTAAATTGGATGACAAAAATGTTATTGAAGATGAATTCCATGTACTTCTTAAGTGTGAACGTTTTTCTGATTTAAGGTTAAGATATATTCAGAAATATTTTACTGATTTTGATCCAAAAGCCAATTTTATTAACATTATGAAAACACATAATGATTGTATCATAAGAGATGTCAGTATGTTTCTGTATCATGTTCTTCAGCGCATTAGAAATGTTCCTCTTACACAGCATGTGCACTAAACTATCTATATCATATGCAAATGACTGTATGATGGGCCTGTGGCCTTTTACTGAAAAAACTTGTCTGTCTGTCTGTCTGTTTTCTTTTGACGCACTTGTCGTAGCAACACGGAGTACTTCCCTTGGTTCACACAATACCCGAAGCAGATATCGATCTGGTTAACAACATCATTCCATCCATCCATCCATCCATCCATCCATCCATCCATCCATCCATCCATCCATCCATCCATCCATCCATCCATCCATCCATCCATCCATCCATACATACATACATACATACATACATACAACATACATACATACATACATACATACATACATACATACATACATACATACATACATACATACATACATACATACATACATACATTTACGAAGGTATGTCTCGATTTCGTCTACCTCTTCTGTGGATATCGATCTGGTTAACAGCATGCCTGCCATCATGTGTCGTTATACACTTGGACATGATGTGAATGCAACTTCAGAGCTGAAGAATACATCATTATGCATTGCGGCCGCCTCCGTGGTGTAGTGGTTAGAGCGTCCGCCAGGAGAGCAGAAGGTCGCGGGTTCGATCACTGGCCGCGTCATACCAAAAGACGTTAAAATATTGTACTGTTTGGTTCCTGCCTGGCGCTCGGCATTAATGGATACAACAAGTCAGTATACTGTGTCTGAGTGGGGTATTCATGCTTCACTGCGGCATGGTATTGCAGTGGGCTAGCACTATAAAACCAGCTTAAGTCTGGGCTAGTACAAGCAGCCGCACATACACATACACACGCATGCACGTCGTCATATGAGCGAAATACTCTCAAGCACGACGTAAAACCCAATTTCACCTCACCTCACCTCATTATGCATTGCCTGTAAAGTTTCATTTTATTAATTTTGTATCGTACACTCAAAATCCTCGTTTCTCATTGAGGCAGACTGGAACAAGCTCGGCATGATATATTATTTCATTTGAATGAAATGACATGATCGCAAAATACATCTTTACAAAACGAGAAGGTCACGTTCGGTGACAACATGTCACCGTGACCCAGTGGCGTAAATGGGCGTTCATGACATCAATCTCTGAAATGACTGGTCTATTCTTTCTGTCATTTACAGACCCCCACCATATTTCGAGAATACTGTAGGGTTTGTTGTCGAACAACATACAACACAAGAATATGAAATCCAGAAAATTCTTTATGTTCATCAAATAGCATTACACAAATACAACACAGACCGATTGGGCATAGGGCAAACCGTACACATTAACTGGAACCGTCTCAGGCCCACTCTCCTTTGTTTTTCAACTCCAAGAGGTAATTCAAAAAGATCTGTGCTTTAAGAAAATTGACCCCCGGACCAAAATGAGTTCCATCCAGACTTCGAATACCTCGAGTCAAGTTGAATGTATCGAACATCGGAACGTTATACTTCCCTACAAACCTCTCCATGTATCGGTTGTAGACTTGAGCATTTTCATTAGTTACTCCCCGAACAAGCTCTGTTCGCCAGAGTCCGAAACCACTAAACCCAGACCAAAGTAATTTGGGCCATTTCCGTGTGGTGTTGCTTTTCACAGAATCTATGATCGCTCTTGCATAATTCGAGTTATCTGTTTTGTTGAACATCCGCCATAGACCACTCCCAAACAAAACCAAAGATTTGGGCGTATCCAGTATGTTTTGCAACTCGTTTGTCATGGCTTTACCTCCCATATCAAGCCGACCACAAAACAAGAATTTCGCTTTCACTGTTCCGTTGCAGAGTCTTGGGGAATAGTCCAGGTTAGGACGACATTTCTGAAAAGGAAACACGTTTTTCCCTTCACACTCTTGTTTCATCTCTGAAAAGTAAAAAAAACCATAAATATAATTTGCAGTCACTATAATCTTTGAATGACGTGCAAATGGACTGGCAATTTAGTGTTCTGTATTTTTGTTTGTCTCATTATTTCAAGGCATGAAAGTGTTTTCTGAACATGGGAAATGGAAATATTGTACGTGTATGCATTATACTTTAAAAAATGATATTGAGATCCTGTGTGTCCGATGATCGATTTAATGTTAAGAAATGAAGAGACTTTAGTTTTGTGAGTAGATGCGATACATCAATTAAAGCATCATCCTAACCCCTGCTCATTAACCAACACTCGTCGACCCCGACCCCCGCTTCAGAGACCAGAGAGTTTGAAACCCAAGTTTCTTTCCTTTCAAAACAAAACTGGATAGATTGTTTTTAAATTATAAATCCTGAAACAGCGAAAAACATAGTTCTTCCAACTGAGAAGACTTCAATTAACATAACCGTTCTATGTAAGAATCAATACATTAATTGTTTTGATCAAAGAACTGGGCCTCAGTGCCACATCAAATAACTCCACGTTGAGACAAGTACGTTAAAAGGGAAAGAAAGTTTCCAATTTCACTTATCAGTTCTCTGAACTTTTGCCTCGACTCCTGAAGCTCCATAACATTCTGTACACAGAAATGTATTTGCTGAATTCAGCAGCTGCACCAAAAAGTCCCTGTCTCAAATATTAACTAGAATCCTTACTACAACCAATGATAACTTTTATTTAAATTCACAAAAAGTATTCAAGACAAGCTGCAGTGCTCTCATGAGCATTCTAAAATATCGAACTATTTGCTTTATATGTGTAAAATCTCAGAAAAGAACAAAGTTCAATCCTGTCAAAACATTTTATTTTATTTATTTATTTATTTTCTTCTCTGTACGCCACTGTCCCACATGACAAACTTAAGGGAAATCTTAACCTTCCATGATCCATGGGGCAATTGGTAATATTGACCATAGATACAATGGCGGGAGCAGGACAGTTGCCACCCGGACAATTGCTACCCAGACAATTGACACCGGACAATTACCACCGGGATAACTGCCACAAAGAACAACTGCGATCTAGGATAATTGCTACCCAGGACGATTGCCACCCAGTTATTTTTACTATAAAAGTGAGGACAATTGCCACCCCGAATTTTATGTAATTTTATTTGAGAAAATGAATGCAGGTTGTCAATAAACACCACTCTAGATGATGAAAAGTCAATGTTTTGGGGTATCTTGACTTTGATGCAATCTTAGCTTTCATGAAAACTCAATACGCATTGATTGGGAAAAACTCAAAATCAAAATAATTGAGAGAATGTATTGAAAGCTCTGACACTTAAGATGAAAGTGCTGAGAAGCTCAAGTATTTAGAAAATCAATTTGTTTGAGCTTGGGTGCTACTGTCTTAAACGAACACATGTTGAGATGAATGTTTCAACAAACAAGTCGTGTGATGAGCAGCGAAAACGGGATAAAGCTACACGGGATTTCCTTACAGTTATTTTTTATAAATAATATTCTTAGCATAGTTCAGATTTCCAATGTTTATGCAGACATTTAGAGGATAGATAGAGAGATTCAAGCCATTTTTTGGATAGATGTCCTTCATTCTTTGGGTCAGTGACATAATAAAAGTGTAAAAGTAAATTAGAATGTGTGAGGACTTTCTGCGCAGTGTTGCCCACAACATCCGGATGTAATGAGCTCACTTTAAGAAATGTGTAATTGAAAAATGTAATTGGGCATGTTTTTGTGCAAGATTTGTCAAGTTGGTTATATGGAAGAATATGTTGTCATTTGTTATGATTTACCATGTCAAACTCAATAAAAGTTGATAAAGAAACTGAGTTATGTTTTTATGTTTTGGGTGGCAATTATCTTGGTGGCAATTGTCCTAGGTGGCAATTATCCGGGTGGCAATTGTCCTAGACCCACAATGGCATACCTATCCTCAGAGGTTCAGGAAAAGTTGTCAAAGAATGAAACAAATACCATGAGAATATCTCTGGACTCTCCTTGGTATTAGCATCTATGCAATAGTTGTAAGACGTTTAGAAAAGAAGCAGTCATCCCTAAGGGGAACAGTTGTGCTTCCCTTCTTGCTCATATGTTTCTTTATGCATGGTGTCGGGATTTCTGTCCATAGTGGCAAATGGGAAAAGGGCAATTTGACAAAGAAATTTAAATTAAACTTGAGCTACGTCCATGATCTAATATCGTTCGATAACAATGCAATAACCAATTCCCTGATTTAGCCGCCTCAACTTGAAACAAATGAGAACAGTGAGACTACTTCGTCTGTTTCATATTAAGATCTATGCATAAAAATTCATAATACATACTGATAGTTGCACTAGGCACCAGTCCGCCATGTCGATAGTCTCCCTTGACGATAATGATGAAGGCCAAAAACATCTGCCGGACGAGAGAGTCGCCATAGAAGTGGAAAGTTCCTCCCTTCAGAAGTTCACACGCAGACTTGGACGTGAAGTTTATCACTTCGCATCTGGAATAATTTACAAAATATTTATGAATAAAATATACGCATAGAACTTAGTAAAGCACCACCTGAAATATCTCACGACTCAACGAGGTCCAATCTGAACCCTTTGGCGCATATCGGCACCCATGAAGGGCCACCTCCTCGTGGTGGGTGCTGGGTCACGCTAAGCGCCCTTCAACCCCCGTTGTGGACCCGGGGGGATATATGGTCCACCAACCCGTTTGCCGTGGGTTGCGCCCCTGTGTCGGTGGAGGACGGGATTCTGGTGGTTGAGGGCACGGGAGCCAGGAACAGTGTTCCTTTGCCCAACACACCACTTCGACCCTTACTTCACCTAGACGGGTGGTAGAACGGGCCCGGTTCTATCAATCGGCTGGTCATGTCATGCCCTGTGCATGGTCAACTTCACATTATGTATATTTCTGTATCTTTTCCTCGAAATGCTGTTGTGATACTCCTACGTTGAAAAATTGTTACTCTGCCTAGAGTCCTATGCCAGACGGCGGTGGCTCATGGGCCAATCTGGCATTACTGACCTCCGGGTTCTAAGTGTCTTCAGATAATCGCCATGGGCGGAACCAGCCTGACCTTTGTTCTGTTTGACAATTTTAGCTACCTGTGTCTGTATTGCTCGAGTATAGCAACCCTGTAGCCCTGGTGTTTCGGAGTCGGTTTCCACTTCGACACCGTTCTTGTTGACACTCCATGGTGGGTGGGGAGCAGGGTTGTCGAATATCCGTTTTTTTATTATGGCTACCCAAATTCTACCTGGTTCTCGATCAAAAAATAAAAGGCGACATGTTGAAACAGATGCTTTATCATCTTCTGATGATGATTCTGCTGCAGTCAGTATTGATTCCTGGCCACGCTTTCTGGTTGTGGAGGGAATTGATGGACAACCTTTAAAGCTTAACCCCTTTGCCATATCAAAGGCCATTGCTGGAATATGTGGTGACGTGAAAAATGTCACACGTCTCAGGACAGGTTCTCTATTAGTTGAATGTGCAAAGAGACACCAATCTGTCAATTTGCTCGAAGCTCGTCAATTTGCGACTACTGGGATTACTGTGTCAATCCATAAAACACTTAATTCCTGCAGAGGCATAATCCGTGATCGGGCTAAATGTCTCGCTGACATGTCAGAGGAAGAAATTGCTTCTGAACTGAAGGCCCAAGGTGTCACCTCTGTCAAGAGATTCACTAGGAAAAACGGTGATGATATCATTAAGACCAATACCTACCTGTTTACCTTCTGTCTCACGTCACTACCAAAATCAATAAAAGCGGGATATTTTAACATCGATGTGGAAGTGTATATCCCAAATCCGCTTCGATGTTTCAAATGTCAAGCGTTTGGACACGGAGCTAAGTCATGTCGCAGTTCCCCAGTTTGTTCCCGTTGTGGTGGAACGCATGAAAACGTCAACTGCACAAATGAAATCAAATGTGCAAACTGCAACGGTGACCATATGTCATTTTCCAAATTATGTCCAGCATATGACAGGCAAACACAAATTTTGAAATTGAAGCACACCAACAATATATCCTTCAATGAAGCAAAGAAATTATTACCAGTTAATAGTCGCTTGTCTTCTACCAAAACGTACGCAGCAGCTGTTTCTACTCCTTGCCCAAAGGTTGATCAGGGCTGTCAAACTGCAATTACCTGGGTCTCAGACGACCAAACTGTTTTGTACAGCGTTTCTGGTACCAGAAATGGTGCTGCCACTCAGACAGAAACTGATCTTGAAGCAGACCTTCCGCTTCCAGCATTGTCTGACACTCCATCAGACTCCAAGAATTTGCCAGCACCTCAAACTCTTTCAGACCCTGAAACCCAGACAGCACCAGTAACCAAACCTAAACGTCTCACTAACAAAGAACGGAAACAACTTAAAAAAAAAGAAATTAGGGCACTTAAACACTTAGAAGTGGCTCCCCCTTTATCCGTCCCTGTAGAGGTTCACAACACCTTTGAACCTCTGGACATGGAGGTCACTCCATCGCTGCCTGATCAGCGAAGAGGTCCTTCTCCCCGTGCTCGATCTCCCATTGAACCACCATGACTTCCTCCACTAATTTACTTCAATGGAATTGTAGAGGACTTCGTACTAACTTTAATGATCTTCAGCTATTATTACAGGATCTAAAACCATCAGCCTTTTGCTTACAGGAAACTTTCCTTAAAGTTACAGATAATTTTGACTTGAGATATTACAACTCATACCATCACTTCTCTCCTCCGGGTGATAAAGCTTCTGGAGGATCTTCTGTTATGGTGAGGCAGGGCGTCATTCACAGTCCTGTTCCTCTTAATACCCCTCTCCAGGCTGTCGCTGTGCGAGTAACCCTAAATATCGTTTTTACCCTGTGTTCTTTATATGTTCCACCTTCGTTCTGTCTCCGACAGGTTGATCTTCAAGCATTATATGACCAGCTACCAAAGCCCTGTGTCATCCTGGGAGATTTAAATGGCCATAACCCGCTTTGGGGTAGTAATAACATCAATACAAAGGGTAAAATCTTGGAGGAGTTTTTCTCAAACAATGATTTATGCATATTTAATGATGGTTCTCATACATATCTACATCCAGGAACTGGAACTTACTCTTGTCTGGATTTATGCATTGTTGACTCTAATTTACTGAGTGAATTTGAATGGTCAGTTCACGATGACCTCTGTGGAAGTGACCATTTTCCTACCATATTGAAATCTGTGACACCTTCTGATGTTCCTCCATCATCACGCTGGAACTTTGCTAAAGCCAACTGGGATTTGTATGAACTTCGTTGTTCTACTAAACTAACACCTGGTGCTTTTCTTGATATTCCCGACCCTGTAACACTCTTCTCTAACGAACTTCTTACAATAGCTGATGAATGTGTTCCGAAGTCCTCTTCCAATCCACACATACGTAAACCATGGTTTAACGCTGACTGCAAACAAGCTAGGAAGGCCCGGAAGAAAGCTGAACAGTATTTCCGTCGCCATCCTATGGTCCACAATCTAAATAAGTTCAAAATTTTAAACGCTAAAGCAAGGCGTACTTTTAAACAAAACAAACGCCAGTCTTGGCAAAATTATGTTTCAAAACTAAATTCACGCACGCCAATGTCAAAGGTATGGAACATGGTCCAGAAAATCAAAGGTAAGGGTTCTAAATCTAGCATTCACCATCTGAAAGATGGGAATCAATTATTGACTAATAAATCAGATATTGCTAACAAACTTGGTGAGACTTTGGCCAAACATTCTTCCTCATCTAATTATGTACCTGCATTCCAAACATATCAAAAACAGCAAGAAAAGAAATCTCTTAATTTTACTTCAGATAATGGGGAAGATTATAACGAAACCTTTTCGATACATGAACTTCACACTGCTCTTGACCAGGCTCACGATACTGCTTCAGGAGCTGATGGTATCCATTATCAACTACTAAAGCACTTACCGGATTCATGTTTAGAGACACTTTTACATATTTTGGATGACATTTGGACATCTGGACAATTTCCTTCCTCGTGGCGCGATGCCATAATTGTGCCCATCCCTAAACCTGGACGCGATCATACTGATCCCTCGAATTATAGACCAATTTCACTAACTAGCTGTGTTTGCAAGACCATGGAACGCATGATAAATAATCGCCTTGTTTGGTACTTGGAAACCAATAACCTCATAACAGATATACAATGTGGTTTCCGTAAAACAGAAGTACAATCGATCATTTAGTGCGTTTAGAATCTTTTTTTGTGAAGAATGCAATAATTAATAGACAACATGCAGTGTCTATCTTTTTCGATTTGGAAAAGGCATACGACACGACATGGAAACATGGGATTTTAAAAGATTTACATGACTTTGGATTACGAGGCCGTTTGCCTCAATTTATATCCAACTTTCTAAATGACAGACAATTTCAAGTCCGAGTGGGTTCTACTCTGTCTGAACATTACAATCAGGATCAGGGTGTCCCACAAGGCAGTATTTTGTCTGTCACACTGTTTAGTATTAAGATTAACAGTTTATCAAAGGTTTTAAATGATTCAATTGATGGATCACTTTTTGTGGATGATTTTAATATTTCTTGTCGCGGTAAAAATATGCATACTATTGAACGGCAATTGCAGTTGTGTTTAAATAAAATAAATAAATGGTGTCTTGAAAACGGCTTTAAATTTTCCAAGTCCAAAACTAATTGTATACACTTTTGTAGAAAATATAAGCCGCATAAAGACCCTGAACTATCTTTAAATGGCACTCCGATCAAAGTTGTCAAGGAGGCCAAGTTCTTGGGTCTAATTTTCGACTCCCATTTAACTTTTTTGCCGCATATTAAATCACTTAAAGCCAAATGCCTGAAGGCACTCGATTTGTTGAAAGTCGTTTCCAACTCAAAGTGGGGAGGGGATCAAGCTACCCTCCTCCACTTATATCGCTCATTGGTCCGCTCGAAACTTGATTATGGCTCCATCGTATATGGTGGAGCCTGCAAAAGCAACCTAGCACTACTTGATTCTGTCCACCACC